GCAGCATTTTCCGGATGTGCGCCGGACGATCCGCGATGATCCTATCGAGGGTCCACCCTGTCCACTGGATGCGAGCCGGTTCTTCGCGATCCAGGATTTCGAGCTGCTCGGCCATCGTGTACGGCTTCCCATCCGGTTTCTTCTCGGACTTGTCAAACAGGATCCAGGGACAGACCTTCACAGGATACACCCAGATGCCTGGCTCGTACAGAATCGTCTTCGGGGCTCCTGCTTTCAGAAGTTCGGTGATCAACTCGGCGTATTTCTTGATGGCAGGATCATGCAGACCCTTGCGTTTCTTTTTCTCCTTCACCCCATACGACGAGTCCTCCGGATACGTCACCCAGTGTCCCGCGTACCAGATGACCAGCGCGTTGTCCTTCATGAACTTCACGATCTTGGTCAGCACGACGTGGACCTTCACTCCCAAGGCGTAACGCTTGTGGAAGAGGAGGTTGATGACACGACGCTTGTACATCCGCTCGCCCGGTCGGGTCTCCATGATCGCCCGGTACTCGTCCACATTGAAGCGATCCTTGAGTGGCCCCGTCCCGCCGTTGTGGTTCGGTGCGTAGCCAGGGAAACCTGCGGACTCGTAGACGGCGTAAGTCGTACTGGGTGCAAAAGTGGTCAGGATGCCCTTGTGGCGCCACGAAGTGATGCCTCGACCCGGTTCCTCGATCACGGTCAGCTCTTCAGGAGTAAGATCTTTCATCTCCTTGCGAGCGAGTGGAGACTTCTTGCGTTCATCACCAAGTCGAGACTTCTTGCATTTCTTGCCAGACCCAGTGGTGGCTGAATCCGATTGAGATGACACCGAACTAGCCCTGCGCTTGGGACTACGAGTCGAAGGCAAAACGAGATCCGGTGCAGCGTTGGCGTCCGGTACCTCAGTGACATCCTGTTGCGCTGCTGCCTCACGAGCTTCCATCCGGTCGATCTTGGCTTGAGCCTCCTCGCTGGGTTCCCAGTTGCCGTCACGATCCTCGTTGTCAACGTCCTCTTCGTTCTCGTCCAAGAGCAGCTCACTGTCATCTTGTGTGGGGTCCATCTGGTCGGGCCACCGATTAGCGATCCAGTATGCTCTCCGCGTGGAGGAAGTATCGTTCTGGCACGTAGGTTGTCCAATAAGCCTTGTCCAGTTGGTTCCAGTACATCATCTGAGCCAGCATGCAGGACAGATCGTAAGGATGGAACAAGCGATGGGCCATTTCGTCACTGTTCAACAGAGTCGTGACTTCCGAGTACGTCAATCCAGTCCGCATGGCCAGATGAAGATCCGTCCGAAGCTTGCGCCACACAACGGGAAGCCCGGCGAGTGAAGCGCATGCAAGGTTTTCATCGACTGGATATTCTTGGTCCATGGGGCGCGCATCTTCCTCGTTGGGATTCCAGGCTATGGGGCGATTCACGACCCGAGCCACCGCCTTGTGACGACGCTTGCCGCCACTGGATCGACGTTCTGACGAGGAAGTCTTACCGGGTGGAGCCTCGCCTGTGACATCCACAATAGTGACGCGCTTGCCACGCGACCCTGTGCCGCCCTCACTCGATTCAGAGCCGTCGTTGCCCTTCTCTTCCGTGTCGGTGTCGCCGTCGTGTCGGAACTCGAACGGCCCGGGATCGGTGAATGCGTCATATGCAGAGGTGACTGAGATCAGAGTCTGCCATTCGGTGGGAGGCGTGGTACGGATCGGTGGTGCTTGAACAACTCCTCCAGACGCTTCCAGTTGCCAGTCACCTTAGTCTGGTTCCTGTTAAGGAGGTTCATCATGCGGTCGACGTTGAAGACCTCAGACTCGAGGGACTCGACCCACGTACTGGATGTTTTGAGCTTGAACTCCAAGGCAGCGATTCGGTCTCGTAGCGCTTGTTTCTCGACCTCGTGTTCCACCATGAGTTTCTTGAAGTCCGCCCGGTACCGTGCCGCTGTTGCCTCTTTCGTCTCTTTGAGGTCATTGAAGACAGCTCTCCATTGTCCCTGCAGCCGCGTGACGTGAGCCTCGAACTGGGAGCTCTCCTTCTGGGCGGTCAACAGCTTCTCGATCGTGGACGACCCGGTCGCCTGCATCTCCCCGCGAATGGTCCGGTACCGGATCAACAAGCGGCGCATGAACGTAGTCATACTGAATGCACGCAGTGCCAGATCGTGAGGATCGTAGACCGACAAGATTGATGCCAGCTCACGACGCATCTGGACAGAGTCGAGCAGCGCCTCTAACTCGGTCGGACTGGGTGGTGGCCCGGCGCGAGGTCGAAGAAAGAACTCGTTCACGTCTTCGGCCTCGCCCACCAGCTCATTCAGGTCCGCCAGGTCCGTCGCTGAGAAGCATTCCATCGTTGTGAGCACTTCGAGACCAGCGTATCCGTCACGCATGTAGCGGTCGTCTTCGAGGTGACGCATGTGAGCAGGAACCCCAACAAAACGAAACGCGCCATCCGGTGCATACCCACTCGGTGCCTCCCAGCTTGCGGTCATGCCTGGTCTGGATGGTGGCGCAGGATTGCGTCGCGCCGGAAGGCCGCTACCCGCAGGCATGTTGAGCGCCTCGACCACGGACAGGACGCGCCCAGGAATGCTGCGTTGCTTGGCTGCCAGGCGCTCTTCCATCGTGTCGCCCTCTGTCTTCAGGTTGCGCTCACTGTGTTCGTCGCTGTTATTGTCAGACGCCTCCGACGGCGCCTTGCTGTGCGAGGGATCGTCCTTGCCGTCAGCGCTGGACATCTCGACGTCGTCATCAACTTGATTGACGCCGCCAGAAGACGTGCGCTCGCCGCGCGCTTCACCGGCGCCTCCGCCTGAGCCCGAGTTGGCACCCGCAGCGACCTCTCCATCTGGAGGGGCGTGCGGAGGTTGTGCCGGGCCCGGCAGTCCGCTGCCAGGCGTCCCCGCATTGTCGCCGACCTCTTCCATGGCGGTGATGAGTCTCGCGATCGAAAATGGATTGTGACGTGAAGCCGGCTGCTCCCGACGGTTTGATTGTGATGTGTGGAGACTTGCTACAGAGACGAGACGATGGCTGACTTGAGTTCTGGGAAAGAGCCTTTCAACGGTTTTGCGATTCGGTACCCCCTACCACCCGGAGTGGGATCCATCGTGTGTGGGTCTGTTCATGTCCTGTCACCTCGGTGGCAAGATCCTCTGTGAAAGAACCTGAGCAGAGGGGCGGTTGACACGATGTGGGAAAGGATTTTTATTCGCACCCATGTCTGACCGCTGGGATGGGACGACCCTTTGCCTGACTGTGACTGGTCGCAGTGAACAGGAATCCAGTGACGTGGAGTGTGACATGTGGATAGTGGATGCGCATAGTGGATTTGGCGGGACCCGGTGCTTGCAGTAAGCATGGGCTCACAGGATCGGAGATGTGCCCACCGGATGAGCGCTCATATTCGGTGTGGAGTAACACATCCTGTCCGTCCGCCGACTTCCCTGACCGCAGGATAAGCCTAAGGCGCGCAAGTGCAGCCAGTGAACGTATCCTGGCTGCTGCCTGCATTGGCTCCGTCAAGACATCGGACCAACCCCCAAGTTCACCATGCCCACCTTGCTCCCATGCGCCCAAGACCTCGCTGGACAAAGTACACTGTTTGCCGGACTGGATCGTGGTGCACCCGGTAGCGACGCACCGGAGGCCAAGGTGCCGTACTGAATGAGGCCGGACCGGATGATCAATTCGGTCTGACCCCTGGTGCCCATACTGGATCGTGACCGCACCAACAACAAGTCCAGTACTGCTGTGTGTGTAGCAGCAATCCAGGACCGGATCGACCAAGAACGTCAAGCGACACAGGATGGCTCACGTGATTAGATGTAGAGGCCCAGTGCGGATTTGATGAGACGCCGTACCCACGTACCCCTGTCGCCAGATGAGTGTTGCCGAAGGAACGTTGACGTCGACAAGGTGCCCGATAACCAAGCCAAGTCAAGCATACCCAAGCTCAGTGCAAGAAGATCGAAGTCCCGTGCACAAGGTCGAAGCATATCCAAGACAAGTCAAGCATAGTGAAACCTTTATTAGAAGTCAGTGAAGTGAAACAGATAGCTAGCCAAACGTAAGATCAAACAGAAACCAATTTGCCGAGAACACGCGGACGTCTTTCTTCGGGCTGGGAATTCCCCCTGACATTGACGTCTTCAAGAGCCTATACGTGGGATCCGCCTTCGTGCGATCTTAAAACGGAGGACGTTTCAAGGCCTCACTGGTGTTGCGAGCACTGGTGTAGTGGGGACTCAAAGGTACCAAGGCAAAGTCGGCAGGGACTGGGGTGTCGCGCCCTGGAGTGATCTGTGAGAGCTTTATTTCCAATTTGCGTGCTCTATCCGGGCATCCATTTCATAGTCCATCCTGTGTGTCTTAGGCGGTAGAGGTAGTCACCCCCGAGACTGAATTGATTGACTACTGTGTGATAGGATTGACTTATATTTTGTATTGTTCCCTCACTCTGTGAGGGTGGTGCGCGTAAGTGAGTGTGCATCCAGGGTTGACCAGTGCCTTGGGTGACGGCTCCTAAGTTGACTGGCGTATAGACCCCCTCTTAAAGAATAAGTGGTGGCTGTATATTTTGTGACGTTTAGCTCGGCATTGTATTTCTGTGTGTTGGTTATACTGAATTGTGGATCTGACTGTGGTCCCTTCGATTCGGTCTGACTTTCTGTTCATTCGGTGTAGTTTGTTTCAGGAACACACCCAGCAGACTCGATTCTGTATTTACAACAACTCACTCGGTGAAGTCCGGTCCGCCAAAGGTAAACGATACCTATAGGGGTTGACACACGCCAAGTCCAAGCGATCCTCCCGGCCCCCGGTTCACATCCTGTCCTCCGAGGACTATCGGATTGCAGCGGATATCTCTGGTAATCCGAACCGATTCGGTCCAGCATAGTGCGCTATACACCTGGACGATCAAGGCGTTCACCCGCCTCGCCTCATTAGCCTTGGTGTACGCGGCAGCGAACCATTGCACTTGGCTGAGGGTCGGCAAGTCGGTCTCCGACAAGCCAAAACGCCGAGCGATGCCCATGCGGATTCGAGCTGGCTTCAACCCTTGCGTCGCCATTTGGCGGCTGTAGTCTTTCAGTCGAGGTGTCATCTTGGGCCTCTGTGGGTCTCTGACGAGCGTCTCATGGGCACCGACTTCCATGATCGTCACCCGATGGAGCTCTTGACAGGTCAGCACCTTCCCCATCCATGGGCATGCTTCATACGGCGTGGCAGCCCGGCATGTTTCCGAGGAGCAGCGTAGCAGCTGGTAGCGCATCTTATCTGGTCTTGTCAGCGCGCACACAACGCAGGGAACCAGTTGGCTTTTCACGATGATGAAGAACTTCATGTCCTCCATCAACAGCTGGGAATCCTCGCGAGCCATGTCACTACAGATCGTAGTCCACGTGTAGCTTGGAGGCATCTTGAGACGGTGGCCGCACACCAGTCAATTTATAGCGAATCATGGTCAGGATTTAGGTGTAGTTTCAACCAATCATGATGGTCTCTTCGTGATCGTGTAGGACGCTGGGCGGATTCACTTCACAATACTCGAAGCCCCCCACCCCACCCTCCTCCTCCTACCTCCAACTTCCTCGGCATTTGATGTGTTCTTACATCTCGACGTGTGTCACCCGCTAATTTAGTGTAGTTAAGCGTAAAATTAGTGTGAGGGCTACCATTTCTATGTGATATCACATAATCTGTGTGGTAAACCTTTTTCTTGTGTGTTTTTACGGTTCTGTCATCAATACCTGGATAGCCGTGGCACACAAAATCCGACTCAACCGAATCCCAGTCAGCTGGTTCCACGGGAATGGCAACCGAAACCAATGCCCTAATGGTGTCCCTACTTTCACTGTTATATGCGAGGCGAAACGGCAGCAATCTTCAAATTGTTGATATCGAACGAACCTCTCACCTTGAGTCAACGGGCAACGGGCAAACCCCTTCGACTCGTTGATCGCGTCTCGGCTGAGGTGCAAACTTTCCATGACTTCTGTGGGTGCCACGCAATGAGCCCTAGAGTCTCGGACACATTTTGGGGGTACATGTAGGACTTCTTGAGCTTCGGGTTGGCGTGGTGGTAGACGCAGTCCGGCCTGGGCGCACTTCATTTTCCGGATTGCCTCTGCGAAGATCAGCTGCGAGGCATCGAAAGGCAACTCCCCTCACCCCGCCTCGCAATTTATCGCAGTCCGGCCGGGGCCACCAGGCCATGGAAGTAGTCGCTAGGCTTGGGCTTCTTGACGTGATCGAAATACCAGGTGCGCCATAGGCACGGATCTTAGTAGCTGGGCACATCGACCTTCTTCATTCCGCGCTCGCTTTCCATCTGGGCCTTGGTTACCCCCCCCCCCCCAGATTCCTTCGGTGCGGTTGATAAACGCACCGGTGGATGGATCCACAAACGTTTTGGAGTGGTTAACCTACTGGTGCGTGTACCGCATGCAAGCATGGAACATGTTGTTCTCGAGCGTGTAGAGCGTGACCTTCGTGCGACCGTTCAACACTCAGTCACATAGGACTTAAACTGGTCAGACATTTAAAGGGTTCTTTGCAATTAAAGTTAGCATGAATAGCATCGTACCGGAACATTTAAAAATACACATACCCGGGTTTGATGTACGTTTTGATAAACTGGGACAAGTTGCGCTTGGTTCGGTCATCGTAGACAACCTTAGTGAACCACTTTTTCGTAGTCCGATCCACACCTCCAAAACCCCAGCAGTCTACATACATTTTTCCGCGGTTGTATTTCTACTTTTTCTTCATACTGGTTTCGTCAATTGTTACCACGTGTCCTTCTTCATCGATCTACATATCGTAACAATAATTGTAAAGCTACACAACGCAAAGTTTCGATCAAAATAAATGCATTCATCTTCAAATCGCAGCGTAACATCTCCGCGGAGCAGATACCACGCGTGTACGCGTACCATTTCCCCGCGGTCTTCGCCGTCACCTTGGCGTGCTGGCCGGCCTCCATGACGTGTGTCTCGCTTGCCCAAAAGTAGAGCGCCTTCAGAAGCTTGGAGATGGGGACGGTGGAGCGGGCGAAGAACTAGCCCGTCCGCACGCTCCTCTCCACCCTACAGCTCAACTTCGAGCAGCGCCAACGTGCGCCAGAAAGTACCATAACGTTGTCACACTTGTGGCACGCCCGCTCCGATGCGATGAGGCCGGCACGCATGCTGTGAGATCGGGAAATGACTGCGGGTGGGCGAGTTCCGGCCGAGGTCTAACTGCTTGAGCTTGCGAGTGATGGCTGACCGAGGGCTCTGATTGGTCGGTCCCATTCCCCGCGCTTTAGTGCCCAGAAGATTGATAGAGACTACGGAGTGACAGGAGGGTATCGGCGGATCAAAATAAACCGCCTGCCGAGGCCTCCGAAGTTTCATATTGGGTACACTTTATGCCCAGTAGGAGTTCGGATTTAGGACGAAGTTTCGTCCGGTTGTGGGATCAGCTCGAAAGCTCGGTCCACACTAGATATTTGAATAGACATTAGGGATTGGTTATGGGCGAGGCCCGACGACCTCTAAACCATTAACAGAGAGCAGATTTTTTCCCCCAAGCCACACAAGGGTCAAGTCCGTATACGGTAAGTCACTAAACTTAGTGT